GCCCCCGCGGCCAGCAATCCCCCCGTTCCCGTAGCCACCCGCGGGCCAGCTGGCAGCGATCGGGCCTCGGGCTCCCTTCCCCGCCGCCGGCCTGACGGCAGGGCCCCTCTCCCCGCTCCCAGGATGCGGATCGTGGACGACGACGTCAGCTGGAATAGCATTGCCGCCGTCCAGGAGAAGGAGGAGGAGGAGGACGAAGGGGACGCGCCTGTGGTGAGCGGGGAATGATGTCAAACGCGGTTTCGCAGACTAAATCCGTGCTGCTGACAGCCCGCCTCGCGTCTCTCTTTGGGAAGCGCTTGCCAAACCCTTTCTCGCTGCCCCCTCTTTTGCTAGCTTCTGCGGCAGGGGTGGGGGGAGTTTTCCTGGTTTAAGCCCAAGGGGGCTGAATTAGCTCCCCGCAGATAACAGCAGCCCGTTCTTTACCTGGCTGCGTTTTCCCAAGTGCCAAAAGCGGGCGGTACAGCGTTTAAAACAGCCGCTCGAGAGCAGGCGGAAGGTAACCGTGCGACTGCCGGGGCCGGCTGACCGCTGCAGCGGGGCCGGCGGCACGGGCCGGAAACCTTGGCGGCGAAGAGAGAAACGTTGAAGGCGAAGGCTTTGGAAAGTCGTTCCGAGATCCGCCCGCAGGAAGGCGGCTGAACGATGGTCACGCAGCAGCTGCCCGTCAGTGCAGTTATGCTTAAGCCCTTGCCTTAGAGGGTAGAAATCCTTTCTTTCTTTTTCTCTAAGGCCGCGTTGGTCGCTCTGGTGTTTTTTCTTCAGGTGGCAGAATTTATCGATGAGCGTCCAGACGAAGTCAAGCTCATGGAGGAATTCCGAACAAACGCTAAATGGAAACTTCTAGGAGGTGAGGCCAGACCTTTGCGCCCTCTCCCTGAATGTTAACTGCTCCAAGCGATGACGTCACAAGTTAAAAACAATACTAGCTCAGAAGAAGGTCTTTGAAACGCCGAAGAGATCGCGAACCGTGGAGAGCTCTAACGATGGTGACTTTCTGCTTGTTTTTCCTTAGACCAGAACGAAGACTCACAAAGCTCGGATATTTCGGTACCGGCCAAATCTACCGTGAGGTACGGGGCTCCAAGCAGAAATTCTTCTGTCGGGTAACTCTTGTTTTCTGGTATCGTCTGTCTTGGTCTGCGGTTTCGAAGCGCTTTGCTGTGACGCGTGAGAAGCGGCGTGCGCGGGGATTCCTTTTCCGCTGTCAAATAACCTCTGCTTGGGGGGGAAGCTGGCAGCCAGCGTGCTGCCTAGGTTTCCGCGTGATACGCGAACGGCCGTCCCGCAGGCCTCCGACAGCGTCGGAGGAATCCGGCCGGTGACTCGCTGCAGATCTTGAGCGCGGGGAGGATGGCGGTGTTACGACCTCTGCCTCTTCCCTGAACGCATCCGTGGGACGTTCCGTGGTGGCACGGCGTCCGGGCTCGCCGGGAGCGCGCGATGGGGCGTTTCCTTGTGGGAAGACGATCGTACAAGGGCACAAAACGGGTTTTGTAGGGTGAGCGTCACGAGGGTCCCCGGCGACTTTAAAATTACAGCTTTCCTGTGATCCAGGCTGGCTCGGAGGGCTTCTGGGATCTACTTTGGGAAGTCCGTGGCGCAGTGATGCAGGTCGCTACAGGGAGATGCAGAATCAAGCACGAATTCGCGTTCAGAAAGTTGTTTTCGTCCTTGACGCCTGTGGTTAGCTTCACAGGTCCCACTTGGGTTTTGTTTCCAGTCTGGAGACGGCAAAACAAACAAACATTTAACTCTCGTTTCACCTTCTCCTCCCCTCCCAGGCGCCAGCGCCACGACTCCCCGGACAGCTCGCCACCGAGGAGGCTGCGGCACGACTCCCCGGACACGTCACCTCCAGGCCAACAGCGCCACGACTCTCTGGATCTGTCCCCTCCCAGGCGAGAGAGAAACAACTCCCCCAGCCTCTTGCCTCCCAGGCGGCAGCGCCACGACTCCCCCGACCTCTCGCCGCCGAGAAGGAAGCGCCACGACTCCCCGGACCTCTCGCCGCCGAGAACGCAGCG